GGGGGGGGGGGGCATGGGTTAACCCAAGAACTTACATACATAACCCAAGAACACAGGCGGTAGTGTGGTGAAGGCCTGGGGCGGGGTGGAGGGGATCAATGGGGGGAAAAAGGGGACATCTGTCTTTCAACAATAAAGATAAGTTAATAAATAAATAAATGAATAAATATCCTCAAAACAAAGTTCCCAGCATGCGCTCTCCCGCCCTGAAGCATGCCTGGGCCTTTCCCTTCCCTCTTCTTCCCTCACAGGCATGTATCTCCCAAACTCTGTTCCCCATGAGACTTGCAATCAGGGGACCAATGGGCAGCGGTAGCTCATCCTGGGCTTACCCCCTGAACCTGTCTCCAAAGCCCCCCTTTCTCTGATTTCTCAGTGAGCCAAAGTAGCCCCACCTTGGCTCATTTCTTTCCTGTAACATTTTTAAAAGCTACAGCAGCCCTGCCTAGGCTCTCTCCTGTTGCTTCGTCTGTCCTAAGCCCTTTCTTGTTTCACTGTCCTCAGCTTTAATAAACATATTTTCAAGATCACCTGGACTCATAAAATCTTTCCTGCATGAAGTCAAGAACCCACACACTGCAGGTGGCCAGTAGCAGACCTGATAAGGCCCTTTCCAGTAAGAACGTAACTACATGTGAACATTTAATATATATAGAAATATATTAACATTTATATTAAAACATGTACTTTGACATACCTTGAAACTAATGGAAAATACAGATAAAAGTATTTTAAAAATTGCCTCTGGGGCGTGGGACTAAAGATGGGTAGGACTATTATGGGAGACAGTTTCAATTCATTTATAACCTTTTCATATGATTTCCAAACTCTGTTTTGTGTATTAATTTCAATTAAATGTTTTTACACATTAAAATAAAAAACAACAATAAATATCTTTGACATTAACTCTACTTACCAAAAAAATAAGCCAATTTTGGTCTCGCCTTCAAAAACAAGAACTCCTGTTGGGGTTAGTCCCAAGCTATAGTCATTCCCATCTCTAGCCTAATTTAAGGAAATCAAAATGTGTTAGCTTTATTTGCATAAAACAGGTTTCACATTTTCACACAACTGTTTAATTTTATTTTCACATAGAATTGTATTAATTATATACAGGTAATATTAATACGCAAGGTGTTTTCAACAATTAGAGTATCCAAAACAACATTCTCAGGAAAATTAATGAGTACATTTAGTTCACTGAAACACTGTAGTTTTAAAGTATGTCTTCATTAAAAATATTTACACTCCCACTAAAACAAAAGCTCTTTCCAGATTCTTCCCATACTCTATTCACCACTTCAGTCACAAATTTTGAAACTACCTTTCTGGGAAAATTTAGCTACTTAAACTATAAACAACTTAAATCACTACACAAGCTATCCTACAGCCTATCAAAGACCTCTCAAGTTACAGATTATTAACTTTGCTTCCTAAATTACTTCAATTTTTATAGAGCCTGCTTAGTTTACATGATATAAGATGGTATGAAATGAAGTAAAAGAATAAAAAGTGGTTTAAAATCTTTAAAAAGTAACACCTTCAAAGAACAGACATACTTTTGGGAAATTTTGATGGTTTCTCTTCTTTCTTATATTAACCTTTCTGTGAGATTCTTATCATTCAGTATTTAATCTCAGCCTTCATAACCACACATCTAAAGTTCCCACTGTTAGCCCATGCAAACTCCATGGCCTCTCTCTCACACTGAAAAATTTCATAGTCACCCTGTATTTTGAAGAAATAAATTTTTTAAAGAGCATCATAGCCCTGGCTGGTGTGGTTCAATGGTTAGAGCACTGGCCCATGCACCAGAGGGTCAAGGGTTCGATTCCCAGTCAAGGGCATGTACCTCGGTTGCAGGATCCCCACCCCAGCAGGCACATGTGGGAGGCAACCAATCAAGTCTCTCTCTCACATCAATGTTTCTTTCTCTCTCTCTCTCTCTCTCTCTCTCTCCCCATCCCCCAACTCCCTTCCACCCTCTAAAAAATTCAATGCAAAAAATATCCTCAGGTGAAAATTAACAAATAAAAAATAAATAGCACCACAACACAGTGCTTACCTTGACCACATGCATATCAACCCCATACATTTCTAACCATTTGGCTTTATTCAGGTAATTGGTTTCAGCTTGTGCTGGTGTCTGACCTCTGAAATTAAAAATAATTTTTTAAATAATAGTAATAAATTTTAAATGAATTCTATACCAAGCATAGAAATAGAAGAAAACAAATATAAGAGTCCGGCAAACATGGCCGTCAAGGTTGCGGAGTTTCGGCTGCCAGCTCCCTGCTTAGGGTTAATGAGTTTCTCTTCGTTTACAAGAAACGTGATTAGCGCTTCATAAATTACTTAGCCACTCTGTTCCTCATCTTCCCATCTGAAAAAGGTACATTAAGACTGGCCCTTAAGACTGTTGTGAGGATTGAGGATCAGATCGCCGTCTGGAACACTTAGAAAGCCCTCTGTGTGTTTGCTATTATTATTGTTATTGTTACCTCCCCCTCCTTTACTCCTGCCTGTCTGGCACTGAGCGAGGTTCTGAGGTGAAATGAAGATGCCTAAGGGAAATGGGCATTTATTGAGTTCCAAGCGATCCCCTTGCACGAAACTGCAGTAAAAAGGGATTTCGGCAAGCGCTGGAACTGAGCCTCAGAAGCAGAGACACATGCCGATGGAGCCACCTGACTTGGGATTCCGCACTCTTATTAGCCATTAAGCGGCACAGTTCGCAGCACACACCATACGGGGTCACACCGCGGTTTGGTGAAGGCATTCCCTCTTTCTACCACACCTCTCTTCTCACTACTTAAGGCCCAGTCCAGACAATGTTCCCTGATGGTCCCGCTCTCTCCTCTGGTTGGCCAATAATAATAAAAGTCCTTAACATTTAAGAAAAATAATATTACTATTATGGTGATGTTAAAGAAAGTATGATCAAATGTCAATCAAGTACCTGTATTCCTTCCACTTCTCAAATATAGCCAGCTCCATCTCTTCAGTTTGAATGGGCATGAACCTGAACTCAGAAACAAGTTCAGGACTATGCTCAGCAAGATCATAGTCACCAAGTTCAGCTACAAACGTAAGTTTCACAAAGTTATATATTGTTAATAAGTTTATTTCCTGATGAATCTTTCTTCAAAATTAATTTTATTAATAAATACTGCTAGAATTAGAATCTTTCTTAAACTACCAGGAATTCGTAACAATCAAACCACTCCCAAAAGTAAATGTAGCTTACACTTATGACTTATCTGTCTATACACACAAATCACCTATTTGTGGTTGGCGGTATATTTCCAATTAAATGTCTTTCATTTATTCATACCTTATAATGCTTAGCTTTTAAAAACCTCTCTCTAGACTTCCACAGAGAAATACCTTTGATCTTATAATGAATAAACAAGAATATTTTGCAATCCTTAACACTTAGCTGGCATCTGTTAAGAATCTAATATGCAAAGAATGTGACATCATATAACACTACAAGATGTCCTGGAATTTTAAATTATTAATCCTAAAGAAATAACACAGAAAAAATGCTAAAAAGTATTTCAGGAAGGAAGACAGTGGGAGAAGAACTGAACAATGCACATTTATGTACTCATCTGTGCTGAGATCTGAATTGTGGGTCTGGGGAAGAAGGGAAACATTCTAATTTTCTATACTTAAAAATGTTTTCCTTTAAAAGAATATTTTACTCATTAAAAAATTAAAATATTTCTATTTTTACTTAAAAAATTTAGCTATGAAGAGAAAAAATACATGAGAACTACACTGAAATAATCATAAAAATGATAACATTTATTGAACACCTGCTTACACACTGGACATATGACAGGTATATTGTCAATTAACTTCACAACAACCTTGAAGAATGTTATCACACCCTATAATGAGGAAGAAACTGCTCTTTTGTCTGGACCACAGTGACCTTAAGAAGCTCCAAACCAAATCTGCTACATAATGTTGTTCAGGATATGTACTAAAATGGTTCAGAAAAGTGAACTTGAGAGTATGAGAAAAAGTTAATAAAAACTATTCTAATAAATATAAAATCATGAATGAGAAACAAGAAGCTCTTTTTATGAAGATCGATGTAATACTTCAGCAAATTTATTCTTAAGAATTAATAGGATTTGGTAAACTATTAGCGGACAAAGAGAAGCATAGGACAAAACATGAAACTTGGAGGCATCTAACATAATGGTGCCATGGATGAAAAGATCAAGAAATAAAGAAATTTTACTTATTAAGTATTTAATGAGCACTACTCTGTTTTGCTAAATACACAAAAATGTATAAAAAACATTATTTTCAAGAAGCATATACTTTGCCTGTCATGAAAATTACATAATGAGACAGAGACTAAATGACACAATATATGGTATAACAGATATTGAAAATGACAGCTTTTCAGTAGATCAAAAAACTTTAGAATTAACAACTTCATATAGGAATTCATAAAACGTAAAAAATGTGCTTTCATGAAAGATGCATGCAGTTATATACTTCTGATCCTTACAGTGCTAGAGGTATAGCATTTCCAAACTAGTATTAAGTCCATATTTTGCAGATGAGAGAAGTTTTAATTTGTAGACAGACTAGGATAGTAGATGGAGACAGATAGAAAACAATTTATACTAGTGGCAAATTCCTGAAGTACAAAAATTTCATCCATTCACCAATCCCTCTATCAACAGGAAAATATGCTTTCTTAAATAGTGGAAGCACATGTCCTGGCCAGCATGTCCAGTGGTTAGAGCACCGGCCTGTGCACCAGAGTCACAGGTTCGATTCTCTGTCAAGGGCACAAACCTGGGTTGCATGTTCCCCACCACAAGTCGGGGTGCCTGTGGGAGGCAACTAATTGATGTGGCTCTCTCACATCGATGTCTCTCTCCTCTCCCCTCTCCCCTCCTCCCTTCTATTCTCTCTAGAATCAATGGAAAAAAATATCCTCCAGTGAGGATTAACAACAACAACAAAAAATAGTAGAAGCACAAAATAAACAAAATATTACATTTACCATAAAATGTTAAAATTTTAGTCTTATTATCTATACAATGGCAAATTAAATACTATTGATCTTAGAGGAATTGGGGATAAATATGGAATCAGCCCCCCTTCCAAAAGTATAAAATTATAGTAAAAATATTTCTTTCCGCCCTGGCTGGCAATGTTCAGTGGTTAGAACATAGAGCATCGGCTTGAGCACCAGAGGGTTGCGGGTTCTATTCCTTGTCAAGGGCATGTACCTGGGTTGCAGGTTCAATTCCTGGCCCTAGTCGGGACTCATGCAGGAGGCAACCAATCACTGTCTCTCTCTCACATGGATGTTTCTCTCTCTCTCCACACTTCCACTCTCTAAAAATCAATGGAAAAAATAGCCTTGGGTGTGGATTAACAAAGAATATATACATTTCTTTCCATTTTGTGAACAAGGACTGAAATGAATGTTTTATTAAAATTTTGATTTTTTAGAAGAAAATTCCTATGTTTAACAGTATGTGATCAATGTAATAAGGTACAAGATCTGAGGTTTTCATTACTCTCATTTACTGAGAAAACACTTTTTTATCCTTAAAATACCATCAGGAACTTTTAAATACACCCTAAGTGTTTCTTTCAGGGATTTGTTTTTAAGAATACTACTAAAAGTAAACCATGCAGCTACAGCAACTTACTAATATATAACTGTATTCTTTATAAGGAAAAAGTTAGCTGAGGGTCAATTATAACATATACTTAATTATCAAACAGACTGCAATATTTGTTTGAAAACACTATAGACAGAAAAAGAGCAAATGAAATGAACAGAACAGAAAAGAAGGCAATGTTCTGAAACAAGTGAAAGTGAAGTCAGAGTTGGATACTGATACAAATTTACACAAAAACAATGCTCTTTCTCTTTTTGCCTATCACTTTGAATCTTTTGAAATTCTTTAAACACACACTGAAAGAATTACGCTTTACTCCCAATAATCAACATGAGAATTGCTTACCTTGCAGATTATAAGCTGCCAACTGAACTGCTGTATCAAAGGGACACTCCAACCTGAAACCAAACACAATTTCCCAACCTTCAGTTTAAGATAAATGGAAATATATACTTTATGTTGACCATTTCTTTTTCACAATTAACTATGAACTTATTTTTCAAAAATATTTTTCAACTACTCAAGAAAATGTGATTTACCTTAAGCAACTAATACTCACTTTCCACTGAGAATATCTTGTTTTAGCTGAAGAACAAATAAATACCTAAGAAAAATAAAAGGCACAAATTGAACTAAAGAGAACAATCTACTGTAAAAAATAATCTTACCCATCTGAGAAGAACCATTCTTAATTATAGAACTTTACCCACAATAAAGTCTATAAAAGAAAAAAATAAGGAAAGGGGCAATAATCATCAGGAGGGCGGTAGCATGTCTGCAAGATAACAAGAAATAACAGGCACAGAGCACATACAGTAGAGAGAAAAGGTTCAAGGCGAATTACTGAGAATGAGCTCTGTGAGCTGATTTAACTTTACTCTGACAACGCAGCCACCTCATAGGTGAAGGGACACAAACATGCATATAACTGTGGATAATAGCTACAGTCTCACTGGCAGAGTAGTCAAGAGCAAAACCCTTCTGAAGGGACTCAGCAACTCAATCTTTTACTTAATAAATAGTATGTGGAGCCCAGCTGGTGTGGCTCAGTGGTTGAGCGTGAACCTATGAACTAGGAGGTCACAGTTCAACTTTGGGTCAGGGCACATGCTCAGGTTTTAGGCTCAATCCCCAGTGGGGGGGTGGGGGGCATGGGAGGCAACGGATCAGTGACTCTCATCACTGATGTTTCAATCTCTCTCTCCCTCTCCCTTCCTCTCTTTGAAAGCAATAAAAAAACCCCATATTTTACATAGTATGTGGAATGAGTTATAGATTTGCAATATTATCCATTAATAAATACCAGGAGGGCAGGAAAAAGTAAAAAGAGGTATATATAACCCACTTAAAGTTTATTCAAAACTATTCAAACCAAATCAAAATCTAACTTTTTTTATTAATCAATGGCATTTCTATAGGTAAAGAAAATCAGGAGCCTACTTGAATTAACTCCCAGGGGCCAAAGATAGATCATTTTGAACATCAATAAACATGGCAATGTATTTAAACACATCAACCCCATTTAAAATCCATGAGTTGATACTGATACTTAAAAAGGAACTCACTAGTTACCTTTGTAGGATGCCAGAGAATCAACTCTTTATTTTGAAAACTGATAAAGGAAAAGAATCCTACACTTAAAAAGCACTGTCTCAAAATGAAATTCTATTGTCTGAGGTCCTGATACGAGGGGCAAGGAATCCATTTCATTAGGTGTCTATAAACTGGAAGGCATTACGGACAATCTTCCAACGTTTTAGCAAGCCTGACCAAACTTCACCCATGTACAACTATGGATAGTGGTCTTACCGGGTTAGCTCTTCACGAAGATTATTTGGTTCTGAAGAATAAAACTTAACTCGAAAATGCAGACAATAGGGTGAACCAACTGCCATTAAAAGAAAAAAAAGCTTTAATTTTTTTATAACTATTTAAATAGTAAAAATTTATAGTCAGTAAATATGGCAAAAATCCACTGAACTGGGGACAAAAGATAACAGGCCATTGTGGCAATACTTCAGTTTACACTGTAGGCTTGCTTGATTAAACCTAACACAAAAAGATCAATCAACACGGTTTTTTAACTATACCAACCACCATATAGTACTATCATTTTCATCTGTTCTCCTAGGAATAGAGAGCTCTAAGTAAATTCTAACAGTTCAGGGCCAATATATCAAATTAAAAAGTTCTGACTGAGCCTCAGCCAGTGTGGCTACGTGGTCAGTGTCGGCCTGCACATCAAAGGGGCTCAGGTTCGATCCCAATCAAGGGCACATACCTGGGTTGCAGGTTCGATCCCCAGCCCCAGTAGGGTGCATGCGGGAGGCAACCAATCGATGTCGCTCTCTCACATTAGTATTTTTCTTTCTCTTCCTCTCTCTTCCGATTCTTCTCTCCCTCCTACTCTCTCTAAAAATCGATGGAAAAAATAACCTCAGGTGAGGATTAACAAAACAAACAAAAAGATTTCTGACTTTGCAATCTAACAGCCCTAACAATCTGCGGAGCTATTATTTCTTGAGAGCACAGAGGAACACCTATCTTATAAATTGTTCATGGCAAGTCCTCCTACACACTTTCCAATTCACTCTGCCTACTTTGTTAACCTCTATATTCTCAGTGATTCCATTATTTTATATAGACAAGAGCTGAAGGCTCTGAAATCTGTTACTACCCAGGATAAGGTGCACTATGGATTGAACACTGGTATTTTCCTGACTACTGATAGAAATAATACTGACATTGTGAATTGCTTCTTTTCGCTGTTCTTAATTTTTTTTAAAGTTACAGCCTTAAAGTCTCAAAATATTTTCCAGAGCTGGGCAGATGCCAAACAAGAAAATTCTAATGTAAGAAATTACTAAATAAAAGTTAAGCATCTTGTGGCAACTCAATCTCATTTGCAAGCTGCAAGGCTTTCTCCTGGAAACAAACTGTAAAACACAAGGATCTAATTAACCATCAGCCCTATATAATTTAGGACCATTATGTCAGATTGAAATTATTTTTAGAAAGTAGAGATACTAAGAAATTCATCCGAAACATGATTTCTTAGGTCCTTACTATTAAAAATCAGTTACTAATATATAATCATATAATTCAATTTCTATTTTTTCACAATTTGTTCCACACTTACTTTTTACTTGCTTTTTGATACTCTTTGTACCATCCAACCAATGCTGAAAACAAAAAGAAAAATTCAGTTGTTAAGCAGATGACAGAACTTAACGTTTTAATTACTAAAAGTTCATTTTCATCATGCTTTCACTGATAACCACAAGGAAATATTTCACAAAAGAAAAAAGAGGGAAAATGAGAAGGAGGGTTATCTACCCGATATCCACAGCAAGCTCATGAATAGAGACGAGCAAAAACACACCGAAAACCAAATCTATGACTTCTTAAAACATTACCTTTACTCTCTCAGAAACAAGGATATTCCAAATTTTGCTTTTTTCTCAAAAAAAAAAAAAAGACTCACAACTGTTAAAATTAGACAAAATAAAAGTTCATATTCCATATTCTTATAATAAAAATGTAAGATTGATTAAAAGATCACAACCCCAAATTAGGTGAAATAACAATGCCACTTATATTTTACAAAATAGATACTACTCAGAAGAGCCCGCACAAGAAAATTAGATTTTTCTCATAACTGAGGCCATATCTATTAAACAAAGCAGGCTTTGACCTTTGTTTAACAAATAAAAAAATGTTAACATTGTGACTAGCATACTTCTGGTGTCATGAGTAACAGCCTTTTGATTTCTGTAACCTCCTCACTCCGAAATGTCCATAATACAAACAGACCTAAGAACCAATTCCAGAGAATTCCACTGATAGACCATTCCCAGTGTACTTCTTTTTATTAATCCTTTTACACCACCAAGCCCTAACAGTGACAAGATGCACTCATCCAACTCAGATATACATAATAGTGTTCTCTCCAGCATGCTTACAATTCCAACCCCCTAAAGGAAAAGACTGCTGCTCTTGTGCTAACTGGTTCACAGAGCTAAGGAATCCAGTTTCAGAAATCCAGATAGACAACGCGTGGGTAAACAAGGCTGCATTGTAAATAGACTTGTAACCATTTGCTTTTCTTGCCAATTATTGCTCTAGCCTCTTCTCAATCTCTCCCAAGATCCAGAAGTAAGATCTACAGAACTGCCCGCATGCCAGCAAAGTACCTCTGCAATAAGATGGTCAGTAAATATTTTCAAAGGCAATTAAATACTGTGCAATATTTCCTCTGGATTCCAAGTCTGTAGGCTACTTAGTAGCGGTTTCTCATTTTTTAATAAATTCAGTTAGACATCCACATTTAAGCATATTTCAATCTAACAAATGTTCAGTTTATATAGACCTCCATTAATAAAATGCTAGGCCAGCCAGTAAGCAGAAAAGATTTCAGTCTAGGACTGCAAAAATTCCATTCATCATGGCCAAGCCAAACAATCCAATATCCAAAAAATCCAGATTTAACTGTGCAAAATATCTACTAGAGTCTGTCAATTAAAGTGTGAAATAAAATTAGTTTCCATGCCCCAGATTGTTTTCTCCCCACCACCATAGCTCTAGGAATTGTCCTATCTTCAGGTTTTACCTATTATACTACAATGAATTAACAATTTTATAGCTAGTCACCTGGGCAGTCTTCTGTAGCCGTGCTTTTGTAGGGAGACAATCACACACCCTAATGAGTGCCAATTAGCACAGCCCTTCTAGGAGGTAATCTGACAATGCCATAAAAAAAAAAAATCATTGTTACCCAGCCAGTGTTGCTCAGTGGTGTGGCTCAGTGTCGACCTATGAACTGGGAGATCACAGTTTGATTCCTGGTGAGGGCGCATGCCCAGGTTGCGAGCTCGATCCCCAGTAGGGGGAGTGCAGGAGGCAGTGATCAATGATGTTTCTCTCTCATCGATATTTCTCTCTCTCTATACCCCCCGTCCTCTCTCTCTAAAAATCAATAAAAACTTTTTTTTTTTAATTATTATGGATGTGTGCTGATTTCCATCAGAGAAAATTAAGACAATCTATACATCCAACAATAGTAAACTGCAATTTGTATATATAGACATTTTTCTTTTGGGCTGAGACAATCTATAACAAAACAGTAACAGATGTTACCTACGTGGCTGAGATTACTGGTGATAATATTTTTTCTTTGTTGTTGCCTATATTTTCAACTTATTGTGCCAAGAGTACATATTACTTAAAACAATAATCATGGACTCCTTTGTTTTAATATTTTATATAACCAATATATTCATATAGTTTAATTTTTTGGTAATATTAAAGGTATACGGTCAACAGTCCCTCCAACCTCTACAATAGGCCATCCCTCCATATTCCTAATTTCTATCATCACACTCACAAACATAACCCCCAAGGTGTTACTGGTTTCTGATTCCTTCCAGAGTTTCTTCAAACAGGGAAGAAAGAAAAAAACTCTGTGTATTTGTGCTGGTAAAGAGTAAAGAACATTAACAACAGATTTAAAGTCAATAGGCTAAATACAAATTTTGACAAAATAAACTTTGAGGAATGTCAAGAACAACCTAGTCTTCTTAGACAGTTACAACTTAAATTTCATCCAGTTTAAGAAATTTAGAGCCAATCTCATAAGTACTCCTTAAATCTCTACTTTGTTCCTGACTATTCTAAGCAGCACATTTAACATAAAATCACCTCAGTGAAATAAAGGATGAGAGTTCTTTTCCCCAAGCAGGCATTTTAGTCTCTTTTCTACCTGTATGTAATAACTTTCTAATATCTGGCACATCCTTAAGGCAACCCAAAATTCAGATACAGCACCAAGGACATTTTAAAGTGAAATTTAGGAACTGGGGGAGTTCTGGGTGACGCTCTTCTGGGGAAGGTCTGAGCTCATGTTTGTATATTCTCAAGTCTGTTTTCTTTCATCTCCTCCACATTCCAAGCCCAGGGGCTGGAAAATTCAGAGCTCAGAGACAGGCACTGGTAGACTTTTCCCTTGATTCAGGATCTTTAGGAGCTGAGTTTAAATTACATTAGAAGATAAAGGTGAGAGCATAGACATATGGAGCCTTGGATGTTTCGTGTGAAACCAATATGGTTCTCTTTCCTTATGGTACGTTAAAAAGGAAACAAACTTCCTTCTTATTTCCATCTTTTAAAGTTTGGTTGGTAACCTTCTTCTACACCAAAGGATGTGGAAAGCCACATTTCTTTCAATGCTAGTAAGCTGGGCACGAAAGAACAATTATTTCTTGTATGTCTTAAAAGATAAACAACATATAATCACATACACAACAGACATAACTAAACCAAACAAAGAATCACCTAGGGAGCTTCCAAAACACTAACATACACACACCTTCATCCCAGGCTCTATTGCCAAATAGTCTGTAAACAGCTCTTCAAATGAACATCTGACTTCTAACTGCCTACATTACTCTGCTAAAGACAAGGACCATTTTTGCTCAAAGAGCCAAGACCTTAAGGCAGAAAAATGTTAGTTACCTTTCAAAACAATTGCCTCCGCAAAAAATATTTTCTCCTGTGAGTAGAGGCTTATGTTTTGAATTAAAGGATTAGCTTAAAGCAAATTTTAACATTTTAAACAATTAAAAAATGTTTTTAAAAATCGATGCTATGAAAATAGCAGACCAATACACTGCATTACTGTAATCTAACTGAACGCACTTCAATTTAGTCTAAATTCCATTATAAATTCTTTCTGGGTAATTACTTTTTTGGCATTAACAGTCTGTGTTGTAAGACATTCCAAATGAAGACTTAGGTGAGCCATTAAAATATATTTTCCACTGTGCCTTTCTGTGTATTACTAGTATACTCTCTTCAGATTCTTGTGGAAACGTAGGCAAGTTACGTAGGACATATAGTCACTCTCCAGAAATAGAGCACATAATCTACTTTGGAAATTCCTTTTTTTACAGCTCCTCCTTATTTAACAAATGTGTGTGTTACAATTTATACATACATATTTAACATAATACATATTTATTTCTGTATATTTTCCCTTCCCACTACTTTACTGAATTCTATTAAGTTCTCAGTTACAATCCAATCCTATTACCTCCTAACAGTGATAATTTTACCTCCTCCTTTCTAACTTTTATAACTTCAATAACTGCATTTGCTGGTACTACTATTATGAAATTAAACAACAGTGGTAATAATGGGCATCTCTGTCACATTTCTGTTTTTAGTATGAATGCTTTTATTATTTCTCTATTAATCTACAATTATGTGTGTGTTTTTTAATAATTAAAAATGAGTACAGAGCCCTAGCTGGTTTGGCTCAGTTGTTAGAGCGTCAGCCCAAGGACTGAAAGGTCCCAGGTTCTATTCTGCCCAAGGGCATGTACCTTGGTTGCAGGCTCGAACCCAGGCACCCCAACCGGGGCACATGCAGGAGGCAACAAATCGATGTCTCTCTCACATCGATGTTTCTCTCTCTGTCTCCCTTCCACTCTTCCTGAAAAGCAATGGAAAAAATATCCTCAGGTGAGGATTAAAAAAAAATGAGTATAGAAAGAGAGCAGAACCACTGAGCAACCACCAGGTTTGGCCCGCACCTACACCACCCCTGAATATGGGCACACCTTCCAAAGGTTAGCTAGACGTACACAGACAGAAATATTGATTCCATACAGGCCAAAGTCCATTAGGTTTATACAAGGTGTTATGGGGCTAGAAGAAAGGGCCACCAAAAAAACACATGATCAGAATTCTAGAATAGGGTTTTACTATCTACCCAACCTTAAATGAGCAACGTCAGCAAGCCAAACCCGCAGCTCACCACATCATGGCTACAGTGCCTGAAATAGCTGAATTCTAAATTGTTACAAGAAAATGGTCTTGGTTTTGCTATGGAGGGGATCCACTGTTGTAGCCTCCAGGTGTGCACTTACAAAACATTTACCCAGTGTTCCACTAGACGATTAAGTGTTTTCTAGCCCTCAGCTTTGGATCAGACATCTCCATTTCTATTTGTGTTGAATTTTGTCTTTAAACTAAATGCCATAAACTTCAACTAATCAAGTTATTCATCTTACTTTCTAAAGATTTTAGTTTCAATCTTGTTGAATGTAGTTTCACTTAAGTATACAATAAAGCAATAACAGCATAGTCCTGGCCAATGTGGCTAAGTGGCTAGAGCGTTGAGCAG